CTCTGTCATATTGCGAATGAATACTGTGACAATGCTGCAGAGAGGCCAGCAAAGCAAAAAAAAAAAATTATCACATCTTCATCAGCCAGAGTCCCTTGAGTAAATTGCAATCGACACATCCATATTCGATGATCGATTACATAGGACAACTCGCGGGTGGCTAATTGATGAAGACATCATCTTTTGATGCCGCGGCATTTCATGGTCGAGGGGATCTGTGATCAAGGGAAGAAACTTACCGGCATGCCCAAGACCTTCTGGGGTTGCTCAGCAGACATGGTAGCGGTTGTGAAGGTCTTTCCCTTAAACAAGAAGAAAGGATTGAGGGGAGATTGAGGATGAAAGAAGAAAGAGAGAGAATGGAGGAGTCGAGAGAAAATAAATCTGCGCCGACGGGGGGTGCGAGGTATTTGGGGGGAGGGAAAAAAATTGCGGCGGATCTGAATGAGAGGCGCTTTTGAGCGAATCTTTCCGGGCCCGCGCTAAAGGGAGCTGGGACCCTAGCCAACCAAAACCAAACCAACCTGTACTCTCCACGGCAACAGTGCGGGTTAGAAGCCTGAGGCCACAGCCTCGCCCAGGTCTGTGCCCCGGGTACCCAAAGCGCCTCTGAGCTTTTTTCAGGGGGTGGACAACTGGCCACTCAGTGGCAATCAGTGAACTGAATTGTGGGTAATTTCTGGCACAAATCCAGGTTTGAGCTTGCTGCCCGGCTGCAAGATGAGATGCCGGTTCACCCCGATTTTTTGTCGAGCGCCGAGACCTAGACCAGTTCCAAGACATGGGAGCTCTCTTCGGGGTCATTTTTTACTGTATGGGGTACTGTACAATACAGTAGGTACCTACCTCTAAATTTGGTGCTTATAGGCTGTAGGCTGCACCTATGGGCTCCTGTGATGATTAGGCGACCCCCAGAAGCATCCATGATAGTTGATTGCCCTGCAGGCGGAAAAGTTTTCTGTGTGCACAGCATCTACGAGAAACAACAATAAATAAACCATTTTGAACCAATTTCTAGTCCATTGTATTTCCATGGATTTCTCTCACCGCACTCAATATCATGTACTGTAATTGGCTCATCTCGATCAAATGTCGTCAGTCTCTCATTACTTTGGATACTATCTCTCTGCCATCCCTCCCTCCATCATGACATCCTTTCACCCACCTTTCCTAGCCCCAGCTCGTTCTCTAATCCACTAGCTTCCGGTCTCTCCACAGGTCGCAACGCCCGAAATAAGCCTTGCACACCTGGCACAGTGCGCAAGCTTTTTGCGTCAATCAAGGTGAGCCATGGCTGTGTTGGTTTTGGTCTCCTTGGATCTTCCTCATCGCCTCCCCCGGCTTGCACCCCCTGGTTCAACCTATCCGTCCAATTGGTGTCTGTTTGTTTGAGCTGTCCTAGAATACGGGGAACAATCTTTTTTTCTTGATCAGAATTTTGCTCGGGTCCAGTTCTGTTCAGCAACCGAGGAAGCTTCTAGCTCAGCGATCTCCTGGAGTAGCCGCACCACCCCGGCTCAACTGGCTATGTATTGGCTTATCTGTGTCCATGAATATTGCTCGCTATGATAGTCGAAAATTGTGAGTTCAATAGTAAATGCTTGTGATCAATTGTCCTGGCTTCATTAGTCTATTGGCAACGATATCTTATATGGGAACCAGAGACCCACAAGAAAGGTGCTACCAGTATAACGTTCAACTATTGAATAGAACCCTTCTCTGCTTCTGGGAATGATTGATTTCATGATGACGGACAACATGTGAACCAAGAGTATAGATAGTTCTTGCGGTCTGAGGGAATCATGGTGAAAGTTTATAAATATTGAAACCACGGGAGAGAATGTATTCCTCTTAGAGATTCTCTAAATACGGTTTATGAAGCTTCATGAAATAAAGTACCCAGACCATGGCAGAAGTCTACTTCTCTCATGCTTCTATAATAGAGGCCATTAGAGGTATGCAGCTCTAGGCAGCTGGGGGTTAGAACATAAGGCCTCTTGCTCAAGGGATGAAACCCTTTGCATGAGCTTAGTGGGCTTTTTGATGAGTTTGCTTAGGCTTCTCATACCAAGTTCTGAAGATTTCTTGCTCTCCGAGGGCGGGCTGCGAGGATATGTAGCTTTTCTCAGACTTCGGTCGAAAGAAAACACGCTCATCATCCCTTTGAGCCGAATGAAAAGTCCGCCACCGCCTCCCTGATGTCTCTTTTGGAAATGCACCGTACCATACAGTGTGAAAAAGGGCTTATCGTCATGCAGATTCGGCAACCTAGGTTTTTCTCTCCAGTTATGTCGTTCGTCCTTATTTAGCTTATCTCTCGGGACGCCCGTTTGCTCAAGTCAACACAATCCGTGAGCAGTAATGTTCGCCAACTTCATGATTAAAAACCTACTGGTAATGACTTCGTCCTCTGCCTCTTCCTTAGAGAGGTTTATCATGGGGTCATTTCAAACATCTAACTATAAATCGCTCAGGATCTTGCCAAATGTTTTTGCTGACCCTCTTTGGAGCCATTGACCTATAAAAACCGACCTCTTGAAAAGGACAGAAGCCCTGTCATATCTGTTGCTCTGCCATACCCAGACTGGCCGGTCTTTCTAATCTTACGGTCGTTTGGTTACATCAGTGGCCAAACCTCTGCCATTCGGATAGCGGATGTGAAATATATATGGCACATACGTACTCTGTACTATCTGTCCACAGACCAAGCGGCTACGTCCCATCTAGGTTAGAGTGTATGACCTGCGTCCATTCTCCATTGAGTTCCCTCCTGGCTATCAAGTAAAAGTCATGATAAGAGGATTGCCTCAATTGTTTACAAGGTACTGTGGACTTGATGCCTTTCCTGATTTACATGTATGTTCACATAATCTACAGCAAAACACGGTCCGTATGCTATGCTACAAGAGCATCTTCTGTAAACGTCAATACCACAACTAAATTGCCTACCTCTGAATATGTTTCAGGTCACGTGCTACATTGAGACTCTCAAACGTGTTAGATTCTTGCCCGTGATGCAAGACTCCCAGTACAAGACTCATCTTCTGTGAAAGCTTGAGTTCGATATTAAGATGAAATTGGGGGTTTTGACGAGAAACAAGGCTTCGCTGGCACTATTAGGTACTACAACGATATCTAAGCAACCAAGACCAGTGCCATAACCTGGTATCTATGGGGAACGAATGTAGGTGCTGACAGAGACTTTTACTTTACACCTCAGGCTTCAGCATACGCAGCGTTTGTCTGAGTCCAAAATGGTAACTCATTGTCGAGCTACTGGGGAGTAAGATGACAGACAATGAAATTCCTGGCAAGCACTGAAGGCCGCAGATGTAATACTAGTTCCTACTTGTGCGAAGGAGCAGAGAAGTCGTTGTTTTAGCAGCTACACCGCATAATCTAGCAATCATTCTTCGCAAGCCTCACTAACCTGTGTTGCTGACATACGAAGTCGTCAGTCGCTCTAGTATGGAAGAGATAAGCTCTGGGATCAGAGTTAGACATTTCAGGTCAGCAGTGATCATAGTGTCGAATTTCAGTTTTGTTGGAGGTCCCAAGGACCCAAATTCGATTGCAAACCAGCATCGCAATTTGTAGCCAAACTCGGATCTCTGAGTCAAGAGTAGAAAACATTGACAACGAATTCTATAAGCCTTTGATAAAGGTAGTTGATGACGCCAGAGCAACGGCCGCCTGCTCCAGTGAATCTCCCACCTTATTACATGTGCGGGTGACCCAAGTAACCCTCGACACATTGTAGGCAACAGATGTTGGGTTCGCAATATCATATATCATTCAGTCAAGTTTCGGTTCAACTAGTGCTCATACCTCGCAATGTTTGATAGCCTGTCAAACGTTAAGTAGTTGCAGATTGGTTGTGGGAAATAGGACGGTGGCATATCTTCCCATACTATCGGGGCACATGGTTGTAAATCACAAGGAACTAATAGTTTGGTCGTTTCGAAGATTTTTCATTCCGTTGCCTTGTGTGCTAAAGCGATTCCGTCCCAATGCTTAACCGAGCATGAATAGCGTCCTAAACCAGGCTTATTTTTCGCCTTGCAACACCCTCCGACCATGCGGCCTGTCTATCGTCCAGGCCGCCCAGACGCACAATCGTGAGACTCAAGTTTATCGTTCATTGCATTTAGTCAGAACCACCGACGGCACGGGCTGAGGTCATGTTAGCAGTTGATCGGATACAACGCATCGGGCCAGGATGTTCGTGCGAGAAGGGGGAGGAGGCCATACTGTAGATCTTCATCTTGCTGTGAGTGACCACAGGCTTGATGATGCCCTTCTCCTCGAGGTCGGCAAGGCACTGTCGTGCCAGAGAACCGTTGATCTTCATTCGGTCGACGAGGGTGGCAATGGTGACGAGACGGTAAGACTGCACATCCTTGTAGAGCTTCTCAGAGGTGGTCTTGTCGAGAACGACGGCGTGTTGGGCCTTGTCCTTGACCTTTCCCTTGGACCTTTGATGATGCGTAAGTTTTTTTGGAAATCGTCGATGAACGGTACGCCTTATACATACCACTTCTTCTTTTGCTTCTTTGCTCCAGCGGCGGGGGCCTGATGTCCAAGTCAGTCAAAAATTCATGTTTGCAAAGTCTGCCGTCTCAGCGCTGAGGGAGGGCATCATCGTGGACTTACCATTTTGTCTGATGTGCTGTTGTCTGGGTTGGACAAGACAAAGTGTGGTGTTCAATCCGAAGACCTCGCTCGATTGACACTGCGCGATTGGAAAGTGGAAAGAGCCACCCGAGATGTTGCAGGGCAGCCGAGCCCTAAGAAAAAAGAAGGTGCGACCCTGACCCGAGGTCAGTGGTTGCCCTGATTGGTTGCACTCGCCCCACCCTAAGCACATTCTGCCCTCCCATCGTCTCTCTCCAATCTCAGTTGCGCCCACATTGTAAACTTCGATTTCGAACTCCCTCCCACTTCGATCACAACTGTACTAACCGCAGCCCGTCAGTCCCGAGACCACTGCAACAGCCAAAATGTCTGACGCCGGCGAGATCGAGGTCGAGAACTCCGCCCTCTATGAGGTGCTCCCCAAGGATGTTGTCAAGGAGGTTGGCAATGTCAAGCTCTTCAACAAGTGGGACTACGATGTCGAGGTCCGCGACATCTCCCTGACGTACGTTTTGACTCTGAAGAAGTTATCTTGAAAAACTTCACTTGTGCGCGACGGGATGCTGACGGATGGCCTACGAATAGTGACTACATTTCCCTGCGAAACCCCGTCTACGTCACCCACACTGCTGGCCGTTATGCTACAAAGCGATTCCGCAAGGCCAACTGCCCCATCATTGAGCGATTGACCAACTCTCTGATGCACCACGGCCGCAACAACGGAAAGAAGCTTATGGCTGTCCGAATTGTTGCCCACGCCTTCGAGATCGTACGTCCAACCTAAGAAGCTCCCGAAGGGGGAAATGTTTTCTATTGGCCTTCACAGAGTGCTAACATCAAGGGTAGATCCACCTCATGACCGATCAGAACCCCATCCAGGTCGCTGTCGACGCCATCGTCAACTGCGGTCCTCGCGAAGACTCTACCCGAATTGGTTCCGCCGGTACCGTCCGACGACAAGCCGTTGATGTCTCTCCCCTCCGCCGAGTTAACCAGGCTATCTCTCTCCTCACCACTGGTGCTCGCGAGGCCTCTTTCCGCAACGTCAAGTCCATTGCTGAGTGCCTTGCTGAGGAGCTGATCAACGCTGCCAAGGGTTCCAGCAACTCTTATGCTATCAAGAAGAAGGACGAGTTGGAGCGTGTGGCCAAGAGCAACCGATAAAAGGTGCAACGGTGGTATCATGATTGGAAGGGTTGGCTTTGGCGCGTTCCGGCTTCTTTCCAGAATTGCATTTTGCGTTCATCGGGTCTGGGAACGCGGCTAGGGATTTTCTTAGGTGGCTCTAGATTCAATAAAAGTCGAGCTCCCTTAGAGGTGAATGAACTAAAATTCAATGTATAAGCAAAAGCTGTCTGTGTTCATAATTATATTGTTTTCCATGTTCGGCTTAACTGACTGTCTCGCCTCTGGAGAGAAACTCAACATTTTGTCGTTCCCTTTCAACTCGTTTGCAGTGGTATGATTGACTTGTTTTGGGGAATAGAAGGCAACTAATCTAGACGGGATATCTTCTCTGAAATCTCCAAGCGCTGAAACATACCAACATGAGGCATACCCTCTTCCCACCAGGTGCCCATCTCCTCATCTACTTCAAATCCCCATTTCTTCCAAAGCTGTACCACCTGCTTCTGCGCATGGACGCAGACGAGTCCTGACCACTGGGGAATCACCATGACGTCTCCGACTGGATTGAGATGTTCGAGGCCGACAACTTTGATGTTGGGATTGAAGTACGACGGGTGAGCTTTCAGCCAACTGAGCACTGTATTGACGAGAAGTCCAGAGATGCCATGTCCTCGGAACTCTTTGATCACTGCCAGTCGTCCTAGTTTTACATACGGCTCTTGGCCGTTATGAAATGTCGTCTCCCGGTCTTTGATATATGGCTTGATTCCCGACGATGCCTTCATCTTCTTGTGTCCATTCTGGTTACCATTATCGTCTTGGAGGATCCCATTCCAGTATTTGCCCCCTCTCTCTGGGTGTGGGTCGTGCGGAAACGGCACCAGTCTGATGGTTCCGATCGGTGTTGAGCGTGTCGAGCTCTTCCGAGGTTGTATCACATTTCCCTCTTCATCGCGAACTTCCAGCTCCTCGACCTTATTGACGCTGGCGTAGACGACCCAGTGGCACGAACGAGGATCATCGTCATCAACTTCGTTCTCGGCTGGAACATTTTGTTCCTTGACAAAGACTTGCTCGCGAACTTCCATGGCATCTAGGAAAGTTTGTGAGATCGACGATGGCTGCTCTTCGAGAGGCGCTCCACGTTTGTATCCGTCAAGCTTGCTAGGCTCGAGGAGACTGATGAACGGTGTCCCCATTTCGAGTGTTTCTTTGTTGTAGCTCCGTATATTCTTTGGTATGATTTGAAGGCAAAACTTGACCAACGTAGGGCTAAATTGTAAGATCGGTGAAGGTGGGAAATATGGGAAATGTCCCTGCCGCGTGGAAAAGAAATGATATGAATGCGTCGAGATAGCAGAATACCAACTAGATGGAAGGCGCAAGAGAAAAAAGGCAAGGTGTGTGATATAGGCACCTGTGAATTGCTACGGCTGGGTTCGGCTAATTTTCGAGCGTTATAATAAGAATAATAAATAAAAAAAACTGAGACCTCGATCTTAAAGATGGCGACGTGGTTGATAGTAATATCAGATACACCCATCAAATATGATGTCAATTCACAGCGCGGGGGTCATAGCAAAACCGAGCTACCTATGTACGGCGATTTAATCCTGCCTGAGTAGTTTCACTGATAACATCCATGGCTGAAAAACAAACGTGGATTATCGATTGGTTCAAAATGGAAAACGTAACGTGCATCTGCTCGCCACTCCAGGATATCTTGAATTGTGTGAGGGTTTTGCAGCCATTACCATCCAGAGAGGTCATCACCGCATTCTGTTGTTTTTGGGTGGACCCTACTTGAGCTTAACTAGCACGCAGAGGATCTACTTCGATGATACAAGGCCCACCCGTCTTTCGTGTGTCGTTCGCTGTGGAGAAGCTTTTTCGATAATTGTACATAATTCGATGCGTAGAAAGTGGTAAACAACCATCATATTAATACATAATAACAGGATCACCGATGATGCAAGATCTAGAAACCCGAATCACCCAGATGTGGTTATTGGGAATATGTACTCCTTTGAGAGGATATCCCTTATGCGAATACTGACTTAGGCTGTCGATTAACACATGTATATTAGGAATCTTGCAGGTTGGAGGCCTGAACCGTTGTCAATCCCTTTCAGCACGTCTCTTGCACACATAAGAATCTATGGGGGTGTTAGACAGCTGCCTTGTCTAGATTTGACTCGAAGCTTCCGTCCTTGAATGGGACGTTGGCACTGCCGAAGTCAGTGTTTGTCAAAGCTGTACGAGCCGCAGCGGTCAAACTCTCCCAGGCAACCAGCGGCTGCTGGCCACCTTGGTCGTTGGTAAAGATCATTTGGTGGTTAGTAGGCCAGATGGCAGTATATCCCACTAAAGGACTGTTTCCGGAGAATGTGCCAGACGTTCTCTTGTCATATCCTCCGTGTTGAGAAACTGCCATGCCAACAACTGTAGCACTTGTGCTTTCACCAGACAACCATATCACCGCGTTTTCCCAGTCGTGGCGATGTCCTAGTCCGGGAGAGGGTGAATCCTTTGGCATGTACCAAGAGTACATAATACCGTAGCGACCATTGTAAGTCCCGCCTCGTACGTAGACCTGGCCCGTACTGCTACTGCAACCTCCATTAGATGAGCCACTTGTGGCTAGGCCTCCACTAACAACCAGGTCAGCTCAGTTCGAGGACGTCTAAACTTAACATACCCAGTGTTTCCGTTACTATCAACCGCGGGAAAGGGCACACATCCGTTGAAGACCTTGAGGTAAGGCTTGTACTTCAGATAGAGTGAGCCAGCTGTATTGGATGGAACAGTTTGCGGAAACCCAACGACAGCATCGTGGTTAATAACAGCACGGCGCTCGATAGGTGATGCAAGGATACCTGAAGCAAGGGCAAAGCCCGACAGAAGTTGAGTAATGAGCACCATCTTGCTTGGGGTTGCTATCGGAAGTCAGTATTCAGCGGCAGACATAGGGGGGTAGGCATACTTGGAGGTGGACAATATATCAAGTACGTAGCGGTAGCTCTGGCCTGTTGATCAGAGACTCGGAGGTCAATCTTTCAGCTGGGAAACTGCCAGCTTATAAGTTGGCCGTTCTTGGACCTCCGCCTGAGATACTACGTTAAACCGCAGGGCCTATAATGGCACGAGGCTGTATGAGAACATTGAATTGGCGGATTATATAGAAATCCCCGGCCGTAGCGTGGACGTTGTGCTTTGGGCTGCCTTATTGGGAATTATGGCCGAAGGCATAGTCTTGGGGAGAAGCAGTGTGGGGGTTTGCTCTGATTATGAGGTAAACGGGCTATGGTGTTAGTTGTTAGTTGATTCAGTTAGGTGCTAGAGTAAGACTCAAGAATCGTTCAGAAGATAATTGAGTTACTATCCTCTTCTGCAAGTTGGAACGATTGCCCTGACATAAAATACGAAGTTACGGAGTAGAGGTCTCAAGGAGTGTTGTTATGGTGTATCTCTAAGGTGGTTGGTGACGACGATCAGAAGCCCGTGGTGTAGTAAAGCATCTGATTGGGGATAGATCAACTTGACGTGGTTGTCAGGTGGGTGTTTGCCCCCGGCGGTTCTCCTCTTAAGGACATGGGTCTTTATGTTATTCAATTGTCGACTGCCGATAACAGAGGAACTACCCGACGACTGCACTTAAACACCCCGGCATTTCCAATATGCAACTTTTTGTATTGGGATTAAAATTCGCTATTACATGTCCAATAGCATAATTTATATTTCTTTTAGTCCGAATAAACTCAAAGACTTTGAATCAACATAAGGCTGCACAGGTACTCGCACGTAAGGTCAATACTTCCATCAAGCTTGGATTATGAAATTGGGTCGGCAGTCATAAACCAACTGACATAGAAGAGCAAAAGCAGTACTCGGCCCCCATCCCCTGATAGCTACGGTCACATATATATGCCGTCACCATACAAGTGTGTAGAGCTCTGTATTACATGATTCAGCATCATGTAGTGTTAAAGGGTTTTGTTTAGACTGGTCTAGGGTAACCAAGTATATCAAAGTTGAGTATTTCCTTCCGCATATCACACATGCAATGAAGCTTCGATTTCGGTGTGGGACTCTCTAAATGGAGTCAAAAGCTTGATTCGCTGGAGTTTCAAGCTCTGTTGAAATTGTGTTTATTGACGTGATTAAGTTATTGCGAACACGTTGGTATCCCATATGGCAAAGACCGTTATGATTTGAATAGCCACTATCCTCGATTCACCGTGTTTGAATTAAAATGTGAAGACGAGCAGCTACTGAGTAAACATTTATAGCTCGTACCGATTTGACTAAGTTTTTAGGGTATGCAGCTATGAATGTTTCAGATGTTTCTGGTGGCACTGAATCCACGATCCCAAAGTCACGCCTCTTTGTAAACCATAAGCCACACATGCAGGATGAGGTTGACCGTAGTACATATCAGAGTTCTGGGCCTAACTAATGCAGGGTTGATGCAAGGATGTTATAAGCATTCTCACCACGGAACTCAGATCCGTGGGTTGTCTCAGAATTGGAGGCTTAAATTCCAGCATGGCAGGGTAGTTGTTCAATTTGGGTCATCGGGTTTCTCTCGAAGAGGGTGAAGTATCGATGTCTCTATACTACCGGAAATATGATTCCGTTTTATGTCCGGTCAGTTGGTTGCTGGCGGTTGGTTGACACTTTGAGGCTATCATGTAAGACAAGACATTCCTTTGATCAAAGTTGGTGGCTTGAATATGAATATCACACGATGCGCATTCTGGCTGTCGGGCAGGCAGTGGAACCCGACTAAAGCAAGGGCATCAAATCTGCACGATGATTCATACAGATGATAGACCAAGAGCTAGAGTTGGGAATGTTGATGCGAACCCTGCATATAGATGGAGATAGATACACAAGGTACTAGACGATTTGGACGTGGGCCGTCGATGAGAGTGGGTTATACTGGCATGAGCCAACTCGATGACCGGACACATTTCGCATTTCATCTGATCTGAGCATTTATCGTATTAGAATCTGCACGGACTCGCAGAAGCTTTCAGGTTACTGGGGATGTCGTCTCATTAATGTTACCTTGGTGGTGTGTAAGACAGCCCATGTGCAGTGTGAGCGAAATGGGCAAAGAGGGCTGCAGGTCTCCAGGGGAGCGGTATGTTAATGTTAATGGCTAATTCCGCCCCGTTTCTTTCCTTCGCGTCTAGAATCTCGAGTTACGTCTAATCCCCAAACTCATGGGTGTCGATCCACAACCTCATTAACTTGCAGCACATACCGCAGACACTAGTGGAGGCGGGATGGAATTGAGATTGGGCATGATCCCAGAGCTCAAAAAGCAATTATTCTTCACATCTGTTAGACAAGTACATTGAGTTCCATATATACAGTAAGAGATATGTTGGTACTGTTACAGACTTTGACTAGAGCCGGCGCATTTTGTCCCCTCCCGAGACCTGGAACGGTATATACTAGCCCAACTTTCTTGACTCTTTTAGCACATAACGATCCATCTCAATGTTGGTTTCATCACTTGCGCCATACCAGTAGCACTTTACCCTTTCAACCCAACAATAGCAACTCTCCCTTATTGTCCTATTCTCGTCTGGCAATTCTTTGACGTTCCTTTTGCCCTTCTTGGCGACCCTGTCTTGTCTATTCCATTTGCAGCCTACGCTCGAACCAACATCCATCCATATTCATCCCGCAAAAAGGCTGAGGCCACCCCTCGATCTAGAACCCTTGCCAAAACCCGCCGCAAGCTATTTCGCGTTTGCTCAGGGGGTTTGAATTTGATTTGAGCAACCTGCCAACCAAACTGAACAGCTCACTCGGCAACAACGCTCGCTTTGGATCAAACTCGGCGCATTCGAACACATATTCGCTACCTTGTGCCTGTGCCTACGCCTGTTCAACGCCATATCATATCCTGTCCTTCTCGGAACTGCGCTGCAGGGACAAATTCCAAGATCCATGAGCCCGCGATTGGTCGACGGGGCACACGTTTAACGACAGCTCCTGGCACTGCGCTCCGATATATGAATTCTTGATGAGTTCAGTAGTGCAACAAAGACCAACCGCCGTACTCATAAACTCCTGACCCGACCTTTTCTCGAACCGTTAAAGCTTATACCCACCTCTCGCCGTTGCCGACCCCCAGCTGCGAAACCTCCAACTACGCCAGCTCTGGCGGCTGTAAACTCTTCGA